AGCACCGCCAAACAGCACCATCTGCAATCTGACTCACGCCTTCCTGCCTTAACACAATATGTCCACATGGAATTGCCTGCAAGCCTGTCACTCTTGCGTAATCGAATTGCCCTTTGCTGCTCTTTCATATGCTTCAATTTGGCCGCATACTAGAACAGGTTTGGGGGGCGAAACTAGACTGCCAGGTTTCCCAACAGGCACAGAATTGTTTAGCCTGATGACCATTGGTAGCCTAAACAATTTCGTCTCAGCCTCTTGGGTGCACAAAGTGCTCCACAGCGAGCTGGAGCACCCATTCAGGGCTTGCCAGCAATGTCAGTCAGGCTGGCAGCCTTGGCAGTCCACCACGATGCTGGAAATTGGCTTTATTGTTGCTGCTGCTGCCAACCTGGTACTGCACAGATGCTACACCAAATACTAGTAGTAGCATCTTGTCTTCTATCCTAGTGAGTCACCAAATACGTCCACATCCACGAATCTCATCCACTGAAAGAGGCCAGCAATGTCTATGTGAACCCAAAGCGCGCTGGCAGCAAGCTTTAGAGGACGATCAAGAAAAACAAGAATAGCAAACAGAAGCCCAAATACATGCACCAAAAGCTAAGAAAGCACAGCAGCCTTGCCACACTCACCTGTACCAAGAAGAAGAACATGCTCTTCCTCTTGTGTGTAGCATAGCTCACGATCAATACCCCTCTGTCTGCCGGAAGGTCAGTCCTCCGTGGTATGACAGCCCTCACTTCGTCCGTGGACTCAGCGGTCCTGTACATTATGAAGTTTTCGGCGCACACCAACACGCCACCTGGTCCATCGGCACCACCAGGCACTGGAATCAACAAGTTGGCTCCATTATCGATAGGCTCGCTGGCCTTGCGCATGACGTGATTCAGGCCCAGGTCAAGTTCGTAATGGGTGAGGTGTTTTTGCGCCTGGGACGCAGCCTCGCCAGTCGCGTCCTACATCATCCTACAGACACTTCAGTGACCGCCTTTTGCAAGCCTTGGAAATTTGGTGCTCCCTGGGAACCCCAGTGAGCCCTTTCACACACTACGTCAGACATGCCAGTGATCGACTATCGCAAGACTTGGAATATTCTGGCCTCCTGTGAACACAGATTGACATTTCTTCACAAATGTGAATGTTTTCAACGTGCGAGACACGTCAGTGATCGAGTCATGCAAGCCTTTGGAAATTTCACCCTTGCATGGAAAAAGCACAAGGTCCTTCAGCACACTGTGGAAGACACTTGTGTAACTGACTGTTGCAACAGGTAGAGGGCTATGTGTAGGGCAACGACTTTCTGATGATGAGTGTATGAGGCCCTTTGCATAGTCCATGGACTTATCACTGCATGATTGTTCAACTGAGAGCAAGCCCTTCGTGGAGTGCCCACGTCCTAGTGGAAAAGCTCAAAGCACACTTGCAGATTGTGACAGAAACAGCACTTGAAACATGTGCTCAGTGCATCACGACATCCTGAGCAGCTTCGAGTTGGGATTCTATGACAGGCTAGCAAAACTGATTAACAAGTCTGCGAGCACAACATGAAACGAACATATCTTTTGCACTTTCTTGTTTGGTAGCGCAAGGGCCACAACTTTCATGTTCAGACAGGGTTGGCACCTGGACAGTTGAATTGATGTGATCTGCTGGAATAGGACAAAATTTTACGCAATGCATGCAACACTAAACAGGAGCAAAATCCATGGCAAGGACCCCCATACCACCAGACTGCAATGTTGGCAGATAAGTGCTTCATGTTGCAAACTACTCTGCTGTGATGCCAAGGGCACCAGTGGCCAAGCACTGGCAGCTTGTTCAGGTGTCAAGCTGCGTACAAGATTCCATTAACTGAAGCACAGCAGCCCCATCTGAGTATTGAGGGCATGTGGGGAATCGTTGCATCTCCAGGCAAGCCACTGCACTGACTGCAAAGGGGATTGGTTGGAAGTGAGGAGGGTTACAGAAATGCATAAGAATGCTCAAATCTCCACATGATCATCAGGGCATTATACGTTTGAACACCAGCATTGCGTGATGAAAGTGATATTGTCCTGCATGGCTGCAGAGGCCATTGTAACACAGACAAGTGGAATAGTTGTCAACGGCCATTAGGTCATGCCACACAGAGCGATCTGTGCGTTGGCAAAGTGGTTCGATTAGTTTCAAGCCAAGCAAGTGCACTGCATTCAGACCTTCTGGGCGACAAGCCTGTTTTGGGCAATTTCCACCATTGGCTACACAACACTCCGAACAGTGTTTGTCCAAAGCCAGACCAGCCTGGTCCAGAGGTGGGAGGGCAGAAAACCCTTGTCAAGCTGATGACGGGGCCCCCATGGCCACCATGCCAACACGTGCAGCTGCCCAAATTTGGCAAGAGGGACATTTCTTGGAACTCCAGAAGTCACATGGAGCAATCGGAAAACCCACAGATCTATTCTGGTGCTGTGAGCCTCCTGCAATTGGAGCCCAGGCCATGAGAAGGCAGATCAACAGGTGATCTTGGCAGCAGCAGCCATCAGCTAAGCACTGAAATGAATTCAAGTGCACCCATTGTCCCCTGAATGCGAACATGCATTCAACAACCTCACACCTGGCGTCTCAGCCGCAAACGAGAATCTGAATCGCCCTACAAATGTACATGCGCTGCACTGCCACTGGTTTTGGAGAGTGGTCAACATTCCTTCCCTTAAGATGATGGCCACATGTTGCCAGTCACTTTGACCAAGCAAAATTTGCATCAAGATGAGTGGGGCCACAGTTCATTTTTGCAGAGGTACGAGACAACCTGATGCCCATGGGCTCAACCAAAAAAAGCATTTTTGAATGAGCCTGTTACATAACATTCCATTTGCAAAAATCGGATCCAAAAATTTGTTCCACCAACACCAAACGCTGTCCGTGGTGGGGCGCATGGGACCCCAAACCCATTTGTGATGAACAATGCAATCGGTTGCCCAATCATCTCAGCCGAAACGCGTTGTGTGCTGCGTTTTGGCTGAGGTGATCGGGCGACCGATTGCGTTGTTCTTCACAAAAATGGCAGACCCACGACAACACAACAGCACACCGTCTCACTTGCCGAAGCTGCAGTCTTCTCGACGGCCTGGCCTGGGCTTTGGCCACACCCAACTGCCAAAAGTCTGCGCTTCCCACAATACGACTGCAACACGGATCGGATGCCCGACATTCCAGTTCCCCACCCCCCCGCGTCACCTGGTCCGCATTCTCGTAGTCCAGCTCGATGGCCGCGAACACTGGGTTATCGAACCCACAGTCCAGACCGCAAATCGAGAACACGATGTGCTTGGCCTTGTGCGCCTCCAGCGGTGAGGATATGGTCAGCTTGGCGGCGTTGTCGCGGTTGAGCACGTACACGAACTTCTGCTTCTCGCAGGCGGCGATCAGGCAGGCCCTGCCCTTGGGATCGCCCGCCAGGAACTGGCCCGGGACTATGCGCCTGCAGCCCGACCGCCCGAAGGTCTCCTGGTGGATCCTGACGAAGGCGTTCTTCTCCTTCGAGTACTCGAGGATGACGATCCGGCCGGAGTCGGAGCCCACGACCAGGTAGTCGCGCGAGGCGCCGGTGAGGCGGAATGGCAGCAGGGACCGCGCCACGCCAAAGATCTCCACGGCGCAGACGCTGACAAGCTTGCGGCCCTCGTTGGGGCGCAGCAGCTCGATGACCTTGCCGCGCGACACCACGATCTCCTGCGCCTTGGGCGTGGAGAAGTTGCCGTACACGGCGCACTGCGGCAGCGGGGCACGGCGCAAAAATTGGAAAGATGAAATGATGCACGGGCTTTTGCGCACGCCCAAAGGCGGACGGCAGGGGGAGGGGGACGCGCAGAGCTGCTGTGTGCTCTGTTCCATGCCCGCAAAAACTGCACAGCACCCCGCCGAGCCCAAGCGAACCCAGGCGGAAAACAAGCCACTCGCGCCGCATCCCCCTCATGCCGCCTCGAGCGACAAAAAGCCGCCCGCCCCTGAGCTGCCCGCCACCGAAGATCACAATTGATCGCCCAACGGCGCGTTTGGAATCGATGCCCGCCGCCTTGTTAACGTTTTCATGGGTCGAGGACCCCAGGTCCCATCGGGGCGGCCGCAGGAGTGCAGGGCCGCGGGCGGTGGCTTCGCACCTGGATCCCCGAGGCGCGGCTCAGGGTGATGCCGTAGAGGTTCATCTTCGTGGCGCGGCGGCGCCCGCCGCGCGGGCGGGCTCGGCCGGCCGGGGAGGCGGCTCAAAGGCGCCGCTGGCGAGACCTCGATGCTGATCAAAGGTTCCAGCAATTGTCTCCAGGCGGGATGGGGGGACTAGGGGGATCTCTAGGCGGCCCTCCTGCGGGTGGGGGGGTTGCCCAGAGACAGAGCACCGGAGCGCCCAGAGGCGGAGACCCCGCTTGCGGCGCCGAACAAAGTGGGGTTCGAGCTGGACCGGGTTCTTGCTGGCCTCCAGCAATTTTTGCACAACTAGTTCCTATTCCCGCATTCCCCTCGCAGGCAGAAGTTAGTGTGCCTTGGCTGCTGCCAAGCGCCGTACATGGCGGGCGCCGGGGCAAGCAGCGACAGCGGGCGCCGCGCCACCAAACACGAAGTCCTTGGCGTACCCACTCCGAAGCCGCAGCTCGACGCTTTGCTTGCTTTCGCGGCCGCGGCGAAGTCAGCATCCGGTCAGGGTCGCGCTCCCAGTGCCTGGCAGCAGATTGCATCCCTCTGTCGGGCCCGCTTTTGGAGCCTCGGACCGCCCAAGGTGTCCGCCCCCAAGGGCCTGAGACATCGCCAAGATGACGGAGGTGGGGACCCCTGGAGCCTCCGAGCAGCCCCTGCGTCCAGCCGCGTCTGCCGCCCCCGTTTTCGTGGGGCCCGGCGCTGACGGTGTGTGTTCCGCTGCCGTCACAGTACTGGAAGTCCAACCCCATGTACTGGTGCCAGATCTGCAAGGTCTGGCTGCAGGACAACGTGACCGCCAGGTCGAACCACGAGCGGGGCAGGCGGCACAAGGAAAATCTGGCGAAGAGTGAGTGCACGACTGCTCAACCGGGCTCGTGATGAACGCATTTTGGCGCGGGAATGCACCCTTTGTGGGGAATTCGTGTTGGTTGGGCACCAAACATTGTGTTTCTGTAAGACAAGGAGCGTGGCACGCAAGTGCTAAGCCTCCTCGTGGGCGAGAATGGTTTATGTTCTTTAGTCGGGGAATACATTTTGCTGGAATATAGTATAATCATAATGCATCAATGAGCATACAAGCCAACCTGTTGCAGTGGTTGTTGAAGCGGTGCCACGCTTGCTTGTTCTGTTACAGTTGATTGCAGCAGTCGCATGCTTGGGCTGTATTGCTCATGTTTGATTTCACACCAGAATTTAATCTTTAGTTTTGATGTTCGTGGTGCTCTTCCAGTCGTGTCCTTCTCTCAGATCGGGCAGTCGTTGATGACTCTGTTTTGCTCATCTACCAGTGTGCCTCAGGCATCTTGACTAGCTGGTATAGATTATATTGAGGCGCTGCAGCATCGATTTCCGTGCAATTACCAGAGATGTTGCAACTGAATAATTCACTTTTGGATTGTGCTGCGACCTATTGGATTTGGGTGTGAAGATTAGGCCTAGTCAAATTTAAGGTTCAATCCAGTCCACGTGTAGTTGAGGATCAGCCCGGTCTAATTTTGAGTTCAACCAATTCCGATTTGAGTTTCGATCCTACAAGCAAGGAGACTTAGACCCTAAACCCCCAAAACGCCTAAAAAGCCTAAACAGCTGAAAAAGCTAAAGGAAAGCTAAAACCAACCTAACCTAACCTAACTTAACCTAAGCTAACCTAACCTAAATCTGCAACGCGCAAAGAACTCAAACAGCGTTCATGACCTTTATCTCCCAAAATGAAGGTTATCGGACATCTGTGCTCCACACAGCTTGACTAGTTTGAACGCCAAATTTAACGCCAAGTTTAACAAGGTTTCAATCCATTGGACTGCGTCGAACCTCCATACGGCTAGACTAGGTTGAATTTCAGTTTGTACTAGGGTTTTCCTCCAATGAGCGTGGACCAGATTGAACCTTAAATTGGACTATGTTGAAGCCACTTTCCCTATTTCTATTTTGTGGTAAAGTTCTTCCACAGAGATTAACACCGGTTGTTGTGCACAGAAAGTACGGTTGATTCTGCAGTGTCAATATCATGCTAGCTTATTTTTTACGGCACTGATGAAAGCACAAATTCTGGGTGCCACAAGCATGCAATAGGATTCCTCTGCAGGCAACAGTCGCCCCTCACCATTGTTCATGCAGTAAGTCGTTCTCCTTCCTTCTGGCTACAATGGAGTGAGTGACTTGTGAGTGACTAGTGTGTTGGTCCACACAACCAGCAACAATTTGTTTTTATGGTGTCACAGAGCTGCGTGACATGAGGAAGACAGCAGATGATCAAATCACTGAAAGGGAGCGAGTGGATGCCACCCTCAAGACCATAGAAGCCAAGGCCCAGGCGCAGTATGAGGCAGACCTCAAGGAACAAGCCACCATCCAGGCACCCCGTCCTCAGACCCCGCTCGCCAACCAATCATCAGCACAGGAGAGCCAGCCATCGACGTCCCAGCACGGCACTTGGGAAGACGATCCTGATAGCGGGTATCACTACCACAGTGTCTACAGGCACTACTATGACCCGAAGTCTGGATGGTATTACGGAGGTGACCCCCCGCAATGGACTCAGCAGCCTAACATTCCGGAGGCATGCAGGTTTGGGGGGACATGTCAAAGCTGTTGGCAGTTAGGGCAAGCTGGAGGGACAGGAGCTGGGGATGCACTGGGAACCGGCCGGTCGGCTTCAGCCGATCCTGCACAGCTGTATGAGGAGCGGACAGTGAAGGTGGTGGTCCCTTCGCACCCTTTAGCCCAGCTCGGAGGTCATGGCATGCCATCGGGGGGAAAGGTAGGGGCTGCAAAGAATCTTGTTGCCGTCGAGCCCAAGGCGAGCAAGAAGCGGGAGAGGGAGGAGGAATTGGAGGAAGATGGCTTGGATCAGGAAGAGTTGGAGGCGCGCAGAAAGCGGGCAGCTGCACGGGCCAGGGTGGAGCAGCGAACCCTGGCCAATTTTGGGCTGGGATAGGCCGTGCTCAAGGTGGATTTTGTTTTCCATTCTATCTATTGACAATCGAGAATAACGCCTAGGCGCCTTTAAGCGATGAAGATGGGGATGGTAGGAGCAAGGATTTCTGGGCTTGGGTGGGGGGCAGGAGCGAAATGAATGGGGCGTTAATTTGCTTTGTGATGTAGTGTGCAGGCTGGAGTTGTGGCCCCTTTGAGGCAACAAGCGTGATGTTGTTCGCCCGAACCCTGATTTGGGTGAATGCCATGTGGGAAAATGAGCAACCTTGTCAACGTCTGACGCGCGATCAATCATCGCGCAGTGCATTTGCATGTGCAGAAGTCTGCCCCACCTTTTTGCACTTGTATCTGTCGCGCGAGAGAGCACACTGATGACCCAGGGCGTCAGGCAATGGTTGGTGCCCAGTGCCGGTCGTTTGTGAGCAGCTGTCGTTTTAGCATTTGCCACAGCGTGTGCGCACACTTGGCGGCACGATCGGCCAGAGACACGCCCACGTCCGGACTTCATTGCCACATGTCGCAGCACACCCCGGCCATGAACTGCTTGGCCGTTTGCAAAACCCCGCGGCAGGAAGTGTGTGCTGGCTTGGTCAGGAGTGGCTGTGATCGCTGGCTGTGATGGTCTTCATGGCATCCCTCGGCACCCTCTAGCAGGGTTGTTATTTGCGGCATAAACAAAGCCTGTATTTACGTGTTGTACGCGTCTTCATATAAAAATACGTGACACACGCTGCGTTTACGCCGCAAATTACAAGCCTGCCCTCTGGTACCAACTTTGGGGCGACAAACACGTTGGCAACCAGCGCCACGCCGCCCAGCCTGCCGCTTTTTTCCATGTGTCAGCCCCATGTTGGCTGGCTGCACACACCAGTTGGCCTCCCGTTCCGCTTCAGCTCCTGCTACACGTGAGCGGGAACTGAAAACAGAACGGATTGGAACGAAAAAGTGACAGGACCTGTCCAAAAGCTCTGTAAACAGGCAAGGAACGGACTTCAGCATGAACAGGGACGAACACTGTTCCGGTTCCAGTTCCGCCCCAAGCGAAATTGCCCATCTGTGCTTTGGTGTACAATTGTCCATGTCGTCTGCGCCGATTGCCTGATAGTCAGCCTTCTTGATGGCCGCATCATCCTGGTGTCCCGATAGTGATCGAAGTGAGGCCTGCACTGAGGCCAACACACACGACCTGATAAATTTTGGGCAAGCAATGAAGTCATCATGCCACGGAGACAAGCGCGTCGTCATGCTCAGAGACAAGTGCCCGCTGTGACATAATAGGGTGCGATTCGTACCACGCCCTCATCCAAAACTCTCTGTCGGCAATGTTCCCGTTGACGAAATGCATGTAAAAGCGCACCAGTGGCAACCATTGGCCCGAGAAAAAAAAATAAAAAAAAAAAACGCGCCCTGTTGAGTGGCATGCCTGTCTCCTGCGTATCGTAGTCACCACGCAGAAGTTTCTGCGGCGCGAGTGGTGACCGCGATGCGCACGAGACAGGCACGCCAGCGTCGCTTCAAAGGAAATAATATTACTGCCTGCACCAAATCGGTGACTGCTTGCACCAAGTCACGTGCACACTTTGTCCTAACCTCAATTTTAGGGTTAGGTTTAGTTTCAGGGTGAGTTTTAGGGTTAGGGTTAGGGTTAGGACAGGTTTAGGTTTTAGGGTTTAGGTTTTAGGTTAGGTTAGTTTGGACGGAGTTGGACATGATGTGCAACGTGACTTGGTGCAAGCAGTCACCGATTTGGTACAGCCAGTAAGTTTATGCCGCTTCAAAGCGGGCACCCGCCGTGATAATGACGGGGCCCATTGAATAATTGTGGAACACGAATGGCGCCCCGTACTTTGGGCTGCCGGGGCGCAGCGGCAGGCTAGCCGCACGACCCATGTCTCTCCTCCCGGTGGAGGCGCCACCGCACGGCCCCTTGGCGCGGCCGGCAGCCCTCCCCCGAGGAGCGACCCCCAGACACCCCCCACAAGCTCGCTCATCGACACCACACGCGACAGCTGAACGCATCATCCGCCCACAGCTGGCCCCCATTTCCCCTCTCCTCTCAAGGTACTGTGACGCCAGTCGCCGCCGTCGGGCATCAGGCGGCGATTCCGCGCGGTGCCTCTTCACGGGCATCGTCCAAGGCAGGGCGCGCGTGCGGGCCGTGGATCGGCGGGAGGGCCTCACGTCACTGGTGGTCGAGCTGCCCGAGGGCGGGGCGGCGGGCCTCAAGGTGGGCGCCAGCGTGGCGATCGACGGCACGTGCCTGACGGCCACGGGCGTGGTGGGGAGGGAGGTGGCATTCGACGTGGTGGGCGAGACGCTGAGGAGGACGGGGCTGGGGAAGCTGAGGGAGGGTAGCCTTGTGAACTACGAGAGGTGGGACTTGTTGGGGTTGTTTTCTTTTGATTCCAAAGTATTCACATGTCAGTGTCCAGGTGCGTCCCCCGCCCTATCACGAGATATGCGGGCCTTGTGCCACTTATCAAGAGAGTGCAAGGCGATGTAAAGCCCCCAAAATTGTTCGTATCCAACAGAATGCCCAATCTCAAGACTGTGTTGGGCATGGGAAGAAAACGGGGCGTGCAACGGGCAGCCCCTCCTGAGGAAGCGTGTGTGAGACTGCTTTACCTGCTGCGGGAAGATGATGTTGTGAATGTTGCTGATTGCAAGTGGGGATTAAGATTGCTTTGTCAAGCCAAGTCCCAGGCACTGGAAGCAACCATGTCCATGTCAATGTTCTAATGACCAGCATTGGGCCAGAACGTCCATCAAGGTGAAGCAAGAAAGGGAAAGCAAACATGGAAAGGGAATGAAGGACATCCCTGTCCATGGCTGGTGGTTGTGGCTGGTGCCATCGCTTGTCCGTTTTGGACGTCATTTGGTTACAGTGCATGCATCCATTTGTGTTCAATCTTCAGGCTGTCTGTGATCGGTTGTGGACAACGAAAGGATCGACCAAAATGGCGGCAGAGTGCCAACAAAAATGGCAGCATTTCTTGTTGTATGAATGGATGGTTTGAAAGAGTTGTGCCGCCTCTTTTCGAATTTGCCTTGTTGAAGCGATGGGCAAATTTTTCTTGTATGCACAATTAGTTAGACAGTTCAGGAGACACTCTCTTTCAGGTGTGTGCTGGGACTGGCTCCTTTGAAGCAAGGGGGAAGGGCTAAGCGAGGCGTCCAAAAGCTCCAGCCCTTGTGGAAGTTGATGCTGCCCTGTGTGCGTGGAAACAAGCCATGAACATAGCTCTCACAACATGGAGCACTGTGGGAGCTTGTGCCATGTCTGATTCGAACCAGTTCTTGCTTGGCCAGTCGTAATAGGAAGCACTCCTGCTAGGATGGCTTTCTGTCTTCACCAAATATTTGACTCTCCTCCATCAGTCATTGTACGATTGCAGCATATTTCCCATCAGTTCACCATAAATCTATGCCAGTTGGACACTGATGCAGCTGCATGCAAAACGTGTTCACTGTTGTCGTCACTTGGGAAATGCTGTATAGCCCTTCGCAGTGACAAGGGAACAATTCCGTTTGTGGGATGCCGCACTCCAACCTACAGAAATCTGGCCCTGCCCCTGTTTGCAGACACATGAATAGAACTGCGACACAATTTTTCTTTCACAAGCACAGTGATAATCACAAATGCCTTGTGCCAGCCACAAAGGGGCCCTGCCATCACCCTTCACTCTGCTGTGGTCTTGAAAGATCTGCGGAAAAGCACAGTGGCAGACAGCATTGCACAGTTTGACGACTACCCCTCATCCTGCCAACTGTGCCACTGTCGCTAAAGTGCAGCAACAGTACATTTGTATCCCCATGCCTACCCTGTGATGCCTGCATGTTGACAAGCGCTTTTTCCACTCTGCGTCCCCCTCCAGTGGGTGCAGATTTTCACGTTCTTTTGCACTCCAAAGGGTGGCAAATACAGAATAAGCAGCAAAGATGTCACACCATGTGTTCCCCTTTTCTCCCCCCCCCCTCCCCGGGGTACATGGGTAATGACAGAGTGTGACGATCCCCAGCCATGCAATATAAGATGTACAACTGAACACTGCATCACGTGTTATTCCAGGTCTGCTCGGGTTGGTGATGAGGTCGGGGGCCACAATACCTCAGGCCACATCCACACCACAGCACAGATCGCCTCGATCGAGTCAACAGCAGACAACTGCCGCATGCTGGTGCAAGTTGGGAGCGAGTGGCTTAAATACATCCTACCGAAAGGCTTCATAGCCCTGGATGGTGTGAGCCTCACGGTGGGGGAGGTGCTCCCAGACGCCTTTTCTGTGTACCTCATCCCTGAAACCTTGAGGGTGACGACCCTCGGTGACAAGGTGGTTGGGGACTCCCTGAATGTGGAGATCGAGTCACAGACGCAGGTGATTGTGGACACAGTGGAGCGCACAGTCGCAAGATATTTTCAGGAGGGCGGCAAAGGTGCCAGCAAGTCAGGAACCTTCAATGGGCCCGGAAGCTGATTGCTGGCTATGAGGATGGTGCCCTGGCTGGCATTGGGAACGTTCATTTTGGCATGTTCTGAGTGGATGAGCTGTGTCTGCCTTATGGCCATCAGGATGGAACAGCTATATACCAGTGACTGGGTGTGTCAGGTTCTCCATTGTTGTGCCACTGGGTGGCAGTGCGCCAGCTGCCCACCAGCACAGCATTCTGATGTGCGCAGTTTCAATGGAGTACACACACTCTTGCTCTGCAACCTGGCATCAATGCAATCGTGATGTCCATCAGCAGGGCTCAGTATGAAGTTCGGCTTGACTGGCACAACGGCCAGGGGCCTGGCTTTTTGGCAGCATTTTGTTCTTGCTTTGCATTATTTATCTGCTACTATGCATCTTTTGTGTCTTGGCTTGGTGCTTACATGGAGTCTTCAAGTTGACCGTACCAGGCACTGCGTAGGCCAAGGCAATCCAGCGTTCTGCAGCCAGCACCTGGAGGCGCCAAACTTGCTAAAGACCAACCACCCTGAGAATATCCTGTGCTGTGTGCTGCAGAGATTCCGTGCTCCCAACTGCTGCCGTCAGCGCCAGCGGCACCATGGAACCCGCAGAACGTCCCAGCGCGGCTTTTGTGCTGCAAGCATTTTTGTCGGCGGCCCCTGACTGCACATGAACTCCCGTTATTGCTAACCCCCTTGTCCCCTCGTCCTGCACAAGACATAATAGGGGACTCTCGAAAACGGGGGAGCGGAAAGAAAGCGAGGTTCAATGGACACAATTCCCCACCAAGCCAGACCCGACAAAGGGGAACAACGGCTGACGCCCGTCCACACACTGCAACCGATAAGAAGAGCATTCTGGAGCCCTGTGCACAAACGCAACCGACACGAAAAACGGAAGAAAAACTGAGCCCCTTGTACACAGAGTAACCAACAAGATGAACACAGTCAAGGACCCGCCCGCACACAGCACAAGGAAAACTAAAAAAGACACCGCACATTTGGGCCCCATCCGCCCACTGCATAAGGAAAAGGAAACTAATCTGGCCCAATCTGCCGACCGCAGATGGCAAAAAAAGCATACGTGAGGCCCGTCCACACACCGCAACAGACCAAAAAACATGCACTTGAGGCCCCGTCCACACGCACAGCGCAAGCACCAACGTCGCCCACGCCACAAGCCAACGGCACCATGCTCGTGGGAAGGGCGCCCCCCCTGGGCGCTGTCACGCGCCCCGTCCACGCCGCGGGCACCGGAAGGCAGAGGCGGCCGCGGCATCGATGCGCCTGCAGCGAAGGGACCGCAGAGGCGGAGGCCCCGGACGCCGCGCGCGACTACTACGAGATCCTCGAGGTCCCTCCGGGCGCCAGCGGTAGCTCACCCGCCATTGCCTTTTCGAGCTCGGTGGCCGTCATTTCGACGCGGCCTTGCGTGACGTGGTAGCGCGAATTTTCGGCCATGGGGCTTGGGCGGCCGCGAGAGGGTTTTCCATTGCATTGCATTCGCTTTCAGACAACGGCTTCGACTTTGCAAGTCATGCCCATCCTTGGTATGCCCAGATTGTTTTTCCGCTTTTCCTCAGCCGCTTGAGGCAACCAATGTATAACAGCCCGCTTGAGCGGCTGAGTTTGTGGGACGATCGCCTTTGCGGGTGTTGGATCGTCTGTCGTAGGAAAGGCCTTTTCTCGTTTCTTTTTTTTGGAAGGGGGGGGGAGAGGAGAGCTTTTAGTTGCGTGGAGGGTGTTTTGGGTGGGTTTGGGATGGACGTCCGCATGGGGGCCGGACGTGCGCGTGACCAGTGGCTTGTGTTGGCACAGCGGACGCCATCAAGGCCAACTACAGGCGCCTGCAAAAGAGGTTCCACCCCGACGTGATGGGTGACGAGGTGGGTGGGCTTTGGCGAGGTGCAGTTGTTTGAAAATGGCTGTTTTGGAGGTAGCATTCCAAGCGTTTGGTGATCGGTGCGTGTACCTCATGTTTCTTTCTGCAATCTTTCATCTGCTGATCGGTGTCCTGCAATGGCGAGGATCGTTATTTGCCGCGAGTCGACGGATTAATGCCGTTAATTGCGATCATGCTTTCTGTTCACATACTATACGTGTACATGTGTGTACAGATATGCAGAAGTGCCGTTGTGGATTTCCGCCTGGCCTGACGTACACAGCCTGGAACACTGATGCCTATACTACAATTGTCACAAACTGAAGAAAAATTGCATTGCACTGTATGGGCACATCCACGTTAGCCTAGTTGATACTGTTCATGTCTGGCAAGTTGGTTGGATATTGTTGCACGGGATAGGCAGCCACCAGTGTCTTCCTTTCTGCATGCAAGCTCCAAAGCCACATTCGGCCCGTCAACTTGCATCAGTCCCCATACAATCACTGGCATAAACATAATGGCAGCGTGAAGTACTCCTATGCATCTCACGTTCTGATGCAGACAATTTCCTCTGTCGTTTGCAACAAATGTCATGGCGAGAATTATGCCAGCCCCAACAGCAGCGTATGATCCAGGAAATGTGCTGGCCGACTCCCGGCTCCTTTCCTTACAGGGTCATCAGCTAAGTGCCAAGGTCAATGTTGCCTATCGGACCCTCATGGACCCAGGGCTGCGCAGCCAGTACGACCGGGGCCTTAGAGAGGCGCAGGGTGGCAATTCCAAGGCCTGGAAGGGCCCTGTGGAGACCCCTGGCCTGGTGGGCCCACTGGTGGATGGGGAAATGCTGCTCAGAGATATAGTGAAGGCGCCTGTGGAGGGTGAGAATGAGCGCAAGCAGGGCCATCGACTGGTGGTGTGGCTGAGGGAGTGGGCCAGGACGTTTGTATTTGCGGCGGACCTGCCGTTGCCAGTCCCTTTGCAGGTGGGCCTGTCCCTTGCCAATTTGGACTCAGGGTTGCAAAGCTGTAAGGAATTTGCAACGATCCAATGAAATATCCTGATTCCAAGGGAGTCACGCGCAGATGACTGAACACTGCATTTCCCTTTCTGTCATTTCCTTATTGAGCTCTGCAGCTTTCCCATTTTGTCTTTCTTTGTTTCTTTGTGTCTGTCTCATTATTTTCTGTTCTTTTGTTTTCCTCAAACCACATTTCACTTCTGGTCTTGTGTTTCCACGTTTGTTTGAATCTGGGAAGCTAAACCTTTGCCTCAACGTACCATTTTACGTGTGCCAAGGCATCTTTTCCTCTCAGCCAGCTGGCCAGTGTTCAGTGATGCCTCTCACTAGTGCAAAGAGTCATCTGATATGTGCATCACTGCCTTTCAACGCAAGCCACAGTTCAATACAGCTGGCATGTTAATCTGTCCATTGTATTTCCAACTAAAGCTGCAGAATCTTGTTTGATAGTCCACATCGGTGTTGCTTTTGCTGTATGCAGTGTGATCATGTCGATGGTGGCGTAAGGCTGGCATTCATCACAACGGGAGATGGTAGCATAAAATCCCTTGGGGAGCTTGTTTTCTATGTGACGACCATGAATGAGGACAAGGACAAGAGCGACAAAGTGGCCTGGGCCGTGGAAGTGCATCGGGTGTGTGTTGGAGAGCAGCGCCCCTTACCAGGCGAATCTCGTGTGCTGCGTTCGTTTCAAAAGGCCATCAGGTGGGTTCACCTCTGGTGTCCCAGATTTCGCGCAGCATTTAGCCCCTCATGTATATTTGGCGTTGGAATGGTCAAGATTCGTACGACCAACACATGGCAACCTCTACGTGATATGTTCTATGTTGAGGCTGCTTGAGTGAGCCTGGTGATTGTTGTGTATTTTGCATCAACGATTGCGATGTGATTTTCCCTGAAACATGCCAGAGTCAGGGTCACACTCCTTGGATTGTTGTTCGTCACCAGTAACGTCACATAATATGCAGCAATTTTGACCAGAGCTTTTGGGTTGCCCCAAAAAGCACACCACAATTAAGAGTACTGCAATAGAAGAAATTGAAAGTACACCACAGTTAACAAAAGTATTAGGGTGCACCACAATTAAAACTATTGGAGTGGGTTTGGGGCAGATTGGCTGATGCTGAACGTGTGTGACCTGGTTTGGCGGCAGGGACAGGGACAATGCTTCCAAGAAGGGGGGCGGCCCATTTGGCGTCGATTTGTCAGGTGTTGCGGCCGCCATGGTGGCGTCCACAGTCGGTGTGGGCCTCCTGGGGGCTGTGCCCGGCAGCAACGACCGGGGTGCGGCCTACGAAGCCTACCACCTGATCCACGACTCTCTGGAAGAGTCTGATTCGGAATCCGATGCTGAAGCCTGAAAGGCGGCATGAGCTTGGTGCCATTTTGGACGGGCGAGACAATTTTTTGGAGACGTGTACCATACTGCGCCTGCATGATCTGCCAGGAACAATGGGGCGAGTTGTAGACACAACGACTGAGGCTGGCAACGACTGAGAACGTTTGCAAGGCAATGGTGTAGTGGGTTGTAAAGTTGCGATGTTGTAACAGTGGAACGTGGGGCTTGTTGCATCGTATATGTCAATATACGATTGTGCAGCGTGCACGTCTCGCGGGACGAGAGACCCATGTCGTAGGAATCGCCATTGGCCGGGCGACACCCTGGGTAAGCCTCTACACGCGGTGTGCCGGTCTGGCAACCAAGCTTGGCGAGATTTCGAAACCTGGGCGGCATCTCGACTCCGTGGCGATGCAGTCCGCCTCCCTATCTTCGCGTCCCTCACCAAGCCCACCCCTTCCTTCCAACCGTCGCGCACCTTCTGCCTAAGCGGCGAAGCGCCCACTGACATGCCAACTTTCCTGCAGATGCGCACGCTCCACGACATGGGCTCGGCGTTGCCGATTCTTCCGATGACGACACGCCGGAAGTCACGGCGGAACCTGTCGCTGCCCGGGGGCGTCATAGTTATTGGGCTTCCAGCTTGGATCCCTTTTGACGAATGGCTCGCCAATTCCATCCAGCTGCGATGAAAACCCCTCTGCTGCTCCATCCGTGATGCTCGCCAGCTTGGACCTACCCCCCGCGGATGGCCACTTGGTAGTCGCGGTAACCCCGCAGCTTTAGGGCCCAGTGCACTGGGGATTCTGCGATTACTATTGTTCTTCCACTGGTGATGCGTGCGCAGAGGGGCCTTGGTGAATGGACGATGGGACTCTGCGGCCAAACGGGCTCTGACCATTCATGCCGCTCTCGCAAATCATTGTGATATTCCAACGCCCCTCCGAGGGCCCCACGCCTGTGGGCCTCCGCATCAGAACGCGCTGCCTCAGTGCCGTAGCTATAGTAGCTGGTGGGCCGGGCGAACGCAAGCATGTGCAGTTGCGTGGGCGATGTGAAAGGTGAATCCTAAGGCGTGCTGCATTGTGCCGAATTACCGATCCCGTTGTGCATTTCCGCCACCGGTGCTTCAACTTGTGGGCTGGCGCCGACGAATAACCAAACGATTTACATCTTCATTGTAGAATAGAATCCTTGCCAGTCCACTCCCTCCTAGACCCTGTGCCCCCAACCCACCTGAGAGGCCCAATAGCTCCAAGCGATTGATCTGGCAGGGTCGGACCCTAGGGACTAATTCCCTTCGACTTAACCCCCCTTTAACTCATAACCACCAAATGTTTCCCTCCAAAGACCTAAACGGAACGGTCGGGACGTCGTCGCCAAGCACCCTGGACGCCAGACAGGAAGTTTCGGAGCGGCCCAAATACTTTAAAAATTCTGGCACCATGTCCCTACCATGGAATTATCACAGTCGCTCTACCACCGGACATCTCTCTCGGCACCCACCGCCAGCCCTTGTCCAATCCCCGTCAAGAGATCAACCCACTTCCACCAGCCAACAGATGCAACAAGAGTAGGGCTGAGAAAGTCGTTCAGTTTGTTGCACACAGATTTGCAATAACTCTAGCGAATTCGCGCACGGCGTCGTCAAGCGCCAGAAACGCAATCATGTTACTGGCTTTCAATTGGCGACCGCGACGCAAGGAGGCCGCCTGTCCCCTGTTGCTATGTTCTTCTGGCAGCCAGATCCCTTCATATGCCCCCGGAACATAGGTCGTCAACTAAACGACAGTGGGAAAATGCGCCAATTTTTACACAGGGAAGTCTTGAGAAACGGCCTCCGCAGGGGCATGTCCCCCATGCGCCACCCCGCCTCTACATTACCATGCCCGCCACCTGCAGCGTTTCCATCATGCTGCTCCCCAATTTCTCCCAGCTGCCGCACCTCCATGTCTGCTCGATCACGAAGAGCCACAGGCGGCCGTCGTACTCAGCCATGTGCAAACACCTGTGCCAGCTGTCAGTACTTTGCGCCGGTGGGTGGCGCGAACCAACCAGAACATTGTGAGATTGAGAGCGCTCCAAGATTCACAACACTCCCTTGCGAGAGCACAGTCATGGACTGTACCCATAGAACGCGTGCGCAGTGGGGATGTCAAATCGTGCTGATCGACCAGTGCCTCTCGTTGCAGAATCTGCTCTCTTACCGTTTAATATTCAACCCTCCCGCATCAGAAAATTTTACCGTTACGCTTTGTGCCCCGCATTCTATTTTCCAGTACATTGTTCTTATTTTTATGTCGCTCTGCAAAGTAAGGCCAAGCGTTACGTTACCATGCGGAAGGGCTGAATTTTTTACAGTACCCTTCGCGTTTTCTGGCTGCCATCCAAGACATCACGCCCACCTGTACCAGTGCCAACTCAGCGTGTTCGCCATGACCACCGCGAAGTTCAGCGCGTAGGCAACCAGTACGCCGAAGGCCACAGAAAAGATGTACACGCGGCCGCTGAGTGGGTCCAAGAAGAAGTATGAGCATGACTCGCCCACGGTGGCCACCTCCCGCGCCTCCTCGTCTGGCCCCACCCAGAAGGCGTTGTAGAGCGTGGCGCAGAGGCCATCCGCGGCATCCCCCTCGGCGTATTCCCCGCCGCAGTGGTGGATGACCTGCGACACCGCGCAATTGCTTCCGGCTGCATCAATCGCATTTTGTGAAATCACCGTTGCGAATGAAGCCATCTGCATCCCACAGACGATGTGGGGAGCAAAGGCTTTCTACCGGCGTGTTGTTGGTAGCATCCGCGCCGCCCGGCACGCTTGGGCAATGAAATTCAGAGACGATAAGACACCCAGTTTGCCAGCACGCCGCCGCCCGCGAGCCCCCAGGGTATAACGGTATTAGATCCGGAGGGAGCTGAGTGACCCTGCAAAGCCAAAACAACTGCTTTGATGGTGCACTTCGCACGCAGAACGTTCCCCGCGCCCGCCTTTATGTTTCCACTTGGATTTCGCGTCTGCTGGCGTATTCCGCCAGCCAACATCGTCTTGGCGTTTCCCCTGCGCCTTCACCTCCCAAATGTTTCTGATTCTTAGCTGGCAATGCTTTGTTAGAACAGGGGAGACTTGAGCGAGCTTAAACTTACCCGCCCCGTTAAGAGCAAAGTACGCCATGCAGCTCGGCGGCGTTATGAGTGCTGGCGATCGGTCGTGGTTTCATGGATCAATAAACGGAGTTCGTACAAGCCTGCCGCGATGCTGAGGATGTGGATCGCTGCGAGCATGGCCCAATTCTCTTCGTCCTCCAGCTTTTCCACAACAACGGGGTAGCCGTTGAGGATGTACCGCCACCACGCCGCCAGTTCGGTGGGTATAAGCGACCTGGAGGATAGGCGGCCGTTGAGCACACAAGCGCACCATGCTATGAATATGGAAGGCAACACCAAAAATGGGTTCCATTCGCGTGGGGCGGACTGCCGGCTGTGCTTTTCGCCGCAGGAGTTTGTGTGGAAAAGCTCCGCTGAAAGAAGAGCACGCAAGCCCTTGCTCGCGACCCGGGAGCGCTGAGCTGCGCGGCGAGCAACATGACTGCTCGCCTAAACGTGGTTCACATTTGCGGTGCCGCACGCCCGGGTGCACAGATACACATGTCGGAAGCCCACGGAGAATCGCTGGCGCGACATTGGGAAGAGATGTCCTGCCACGAATTTTCCAACAGTGTTGTACAATGTGGAAATATTTTGATAATCTTTGAAAGTCGTTGAAATCGCTCGTTGGCAATTAGGAAAACTTTTGAGACGGCAGCGCGTCGACGCTGTGCCTTTCGCAAATCTACATCAACTTGCGTGGTCCGCCATGTGGCCTGTGATAGCACCTTGACAGTAGCGTGGCCCCCTTCCAGCTGCTGACCCTGAAGCCGTACAGCGCCACGCACAGAGACACGATGGAGCTGCTGGTGATCCAAGCGGCGCCCAGGGTGGAGCAGGACACCCGCAGGTCGGCCTTCACTATGGCCAGCGCCACCGTCATGGCCACCAGTCCCCACGGCGTGTGGATGATGCAAATGTCCTCGCAACGACACCGACACCTGTCGTAGCAATCCGCGTCGTTCCGGTGCGAAACCTGCGTCTTTCGGAGCCCGTCTGGGTCGTTCTGAACTGCGACTTGGGGCTGCTGCGATTCCAGGTTTCTGGCGCCGGGGGCGTTGGGCGCCGGAACTTGCGTCCGGGACTGCCTGTAGTTTACGGGCCCCACGATGGTGAGGATGATGGCCGTGCCCACCACGAGGGTGCAGCATCTGCGGATGTCCGCCCTCGCGCTGGGGAACGGGGGTCTCGGCGCCGGGAACCTTCTCTTGCGGCGCCTCCAGTGGGCGCCGGGCTTGGGCGCGGCCATGATGCCCTTGTCCACGGAAGACCACGCGACCAGAGCTTGTGCTTGCATTGTTGGGGGAATCCACTGACTTCCCTAGCTGATCCTGAAAGCCAGGGCAGATGACATGTTGACAAAACAAGTTGCAAACATTCAATTAAAATGTCCTATCTTTCATCTTGAAGCTGGGGTGCCTATCCACTGCAGCAAGGTTCATTGTAGCTGCTATTCCGAAATAGTTTGGTACTTTACATGCACACGTAAACAGACATATGCACAACGTATGCACATACTTCTACATGCAGCGAGAGGCCGACCGTTGAGGCGTTCGGGGATCGATCAGATAGCGTGAGCAGACTTTTCATCAGCAGTACTGATGAATTGATGAGTTTTTAACTTAACCAATCGGAACACACTAATGTCCCTCTTTTTGCTGGAGTTCACGAAGGTACCTCGTGAACTCTGCACCGGTGCAGAGTGCGGATTGCTGAAATGGCAGTGCAATTCGCTCTGCTGAACAGGTGGTGTATGGGTTTTCTGAGGTTCCGCTATAGCGACGCCGTTATAATTCAAACTTTGAGTTTGCTTACTTCTTAGGAAGTTTGTGCCTTCACCTCGGCAAGCACTCCTCTCAAGTCTTCCCGGCGGTGTTATGCATGGTGCAATCTCGCAGATACACAGTTTGCAGTTGTACAAAATCATACGCTGTGTCGGTTGGACATACATGATGACATTTCGTACCGATGCAGATTACAATGTCAATTGACATCAGTGAGGACAGTTGCAAGTGTCCGCACTGATTGAGGGAGCCATGTCGCAGGAGCTTGTGGTGGCCCCAACGGTAGCGTTTCATGGGGCATTGATCCAATCCCAAATGGGCCAAACTGCCTTCAGCATGCTTTGAGTCATCACGCGGATGTGCCTTGCGGCAACCCCAAATGACAAAGCCCGCCTCATCGTCGAAAAGGGAAAGAGCCCGAAGCTGAAGAGTGGAAGTTAATGGACGACGACGTTCGCGGATCAAAAATTTTCAGACACCACACGCACGCAATGAATGCGCAGGTCTCTTTGCAGCCAAACACTAGGAAAAAAAGGGACAAATAACACGTGTTCAAATGTGTACAAGGATTACGGGTTTGGGGTATTTCCGTGCTTTTAGTATGAGAACACTGATGAAATATATGTGTGTGTGTGTGTGTGTGTGTGTGTGTTCGCAAAAAGCGTTATATGGTCCTTCTTGGTAGTGAAAGTGATTCCGGACTCAGCCCGTGCCAATCAGTATCCGTGACAGCGTGCAAAGCGTCCCACAAGGTGCACCCTGATGCGCCCACCATGTCTGTCCACGCAATCGCTCACTTGATCAAATCTGAAATGTTGTGCCTGCAGGCGGGGATGCAGCCACCGCTTTCCTGTTCTCCTTGGGAAAGAAATGCTAGCTTGTAGCAGAATTGGTCGGTGCGGCTTTAGACTGCGCTTCGCTGATTCTTCAAAGCCCCGTTGAGCCCACAAGCTCAGACGGCGCCCAAAGAGTGCAGTTATTTGTGCATCCAATACGGTCATATGAAAACGAAAGAAAACGCAGATATGCATGAATAAAATAGGGGTACACATGACCACAAAATATATGATTGCCACTCGGTTCACGTCGCGGTTGATACTACACGATTTGCCCTATATTATCAGCACATCATATGCATCAAATAACACTGCAAAAACAGTGTCAAAAGCTCGGCAGAAAGGGCATCTGTTGCCAGATCGCCCACCCTCTCCGTCTCCAAGCCTTGGCGTGCGGTGTTTGCAACTCATTGAGCACGCATCCAGGCACCCTGTCAGCGACGCGGCGAGCCCCGCAGCCGCCCTGCCCAACAAAAGGCAGCACTACCCTTGCCACCGAGCGAAGCCCAACGCTGTGCTTTGCGGTTAAAGCGCCCAACCAGAGTCCATGGACACGAGCGCAGGCGGCGGCGCCGAGTTCCAAAAGCGTCCCCTCCCTTCGCGCAGAGGAGCCGCTGGCCGCCGCCCCACCGTCTTCCTGTCCCGCGCGGCGCTGCGAAAGCTTTTGACGCTGCAGCAAAACGGTCGCAAGCGCTTCGACTATCGCTCCATGCCTCCGCTGCCGCCAGCGTCTCTTCGACGCGCGGCTGGCCGCAAGAGAAAAACAGCCCGCCCAGAAACCTGGCAGCAGGCCGGTTGCCTCCACGCACCGGTGCTCTGCTCCGCGCTGTGTGTCGGACTTTAAGCCGAGGCCGCGAACGGGTGGGACGCGCGGCTTTTGCCCCCGCCCGCGGCGCCGATGCCTCCGCTGCAGCCGACAAAGCTTTGCAGGAGGGCCGGCGGCGATCCGTCCGGGAATGCGGGTCGAAGATCCCGCCGTGTCGCCACTCGGCACTCCTGACTCCGTCGTCGCCCGTCGCTGTTACGGCTGCGCCGATCCGCGGGAGCGTTGGGCGTAAACTTCTCGTGGCCGCGGCCAAAGAAACGGAACGCCTCGGGCGCGGGCCAGCGCTGGCGGCTTGGCGGAAGATGCCCCCTGTCGCCGCGGCCTCAGCGTCCGACGCAACCGCGCTGCCTTCGCGGAGGGCTGCAGCGCGACCACCTGCCAACGCCGGCCGTTGACGCGGGTGGCGGCCGGGCCCCCGGTTCCGCCGTCACTTGCAGAGGGCCCCCCTTCTCTATGCGCCCATGTCGAAAATGCCGCGCCGCGGTTACGGGCTCGGACTCGATCCGGCCGGTCGCCGGTTCTCAACCGCCCCCAACCGCCTGGCCGCGCAAATGGCCAAGGCCCAGCACGAGGGCGGTGGAAGCAGCCGCCGGCTCCCGGCGGTCGCCGCGCAGCTGCCGCGCCGGGTGCCACCCACGCCCCGGATTACTCATCCGAGCGCGGTGGCAACACGGCCTTGGTGGTGGCGCCTTGTTGGGCTTGGCAGTGGGCGGGGTGGCCGGGGCACTGGCAAACGGATCACCACTCGTTGGGTGTACGCGGTCGTTGGGTCGAACTCGATGATCTCGCCGGACCAACGCAGATCGGCTCCCGAATCCAGGCCGGTCACAGCCCAGCGGGCACCGTGCCAAGTCCCTTCGCCAAACCCCGCTATTTGACGGCGGCCCCTCTCGGGAACCGCGCACAGGCGGCCAGCAGCGACCCAGAAACACAAAACAGAGGGAGTGCTCGGTCGAGATCCCAGCCGCGGAGGGCTGAGCGGGAGGGAGCGGCGTCCGCGTGTTCGGGGGGATCCGCAACGGCGTTCCGTCAAGGCTGCGCGAGTCAACTGGAGTCAACACACGTCAGCGGGAGTCGACGGCTGGAGCTCGCAGTTGACTGGAAGGCGCGGGGGCGCGCGGGCGGCGCAGGTGAGCGGCACGGCGGCCGGTGCGGTGCGGCGAGGGTTTGGGTTTTGGTGGAATGCTGGGCTGTTTTCGTTGGACTGGTTTCGGATGACGGGGTGGACGTCACAGCGGCTGGGTGCGGGATGCGCGGTTGGGCGCTTGGCGTGGCCCGGTGGCGATCGGCGATGTGGACGGGGCGAGGGGCGCTGGCTTTCCTGCGGGGTTGTCTGCAGTCGGCCCATTGGGGCATATTGCACGTTAGGAGGGTACTGTGCCGCGCTCTTGAAGGTGGTGGGCGTTCGCAGGAACGCTGTAGGGAATGGTTGGGGATCGTGGTTGCAAGATTTGTTGTGAGATGTTTGAGTTTCAGATGGTTGGGAGCTCCCTGTTGGGGGCGACGTCGGCCAGACTCTTTTTCCCGCCCTGAAAGTGACGTGGTAGAGCCGCCCGAGCGCGTCAGAAAGCGCTGCACGCCGGGCAGCACTCAGAGGGACTTTGGACGCACACGCGAGGAGACCTGTGTTGTCGGATGTTGTGGTGGGGTGTAGGCCAATCACCATTGTGCGCGGGACAGTGACACAACATGGCAGTCATGATCGTTGACCTTCAGAAGGGAAACCTCTCTTGGCCGGCTAGCACAGTGCAGGCCATGTGCTCATAGAAAACAATTCCCAGCGACTGACTGTTTTGCTTCCAAATCCAAACTCAATGGAAATGTGGATCAGTCCGGCGTCCAGCTGCTCCCACAGCAGTCTTAGCGCTGTTTCTGAAATCTTTTCTTTTGAGTGTAGACCAGCTCCTGTCCTCACTGGGATCTGCACTGGCCACCTCCCACTCTCTTCGGCCCAGCAGCACACAGGCATCTTCGAAGGGAGGCAGCCATGTTGAAAGGAAGCAATCTCCTGGCTGGTGAGTTTCGGTGTTGCTGATGTCTATCGGATGATGTGGGGCATCGACAATGGAAAGTTCCATGCCTCCAAGCCCCATCAGTGAGTCTCAAGATAGGTGCACAAGTTAAAATTGCCCCCAACGGGCCCAGGATCGTCCGTAGGTGGGCAATGATGCTGAAACTCTGTCAACAGCCACCATGGGCTGCGCCACCACACAATCAAGAAGGATGTCGGGCTGATGGCAGTTGTGTCCACAGAAAGGCTTGTGCTGTTGCCAGGAGCAACACACAGTGCCTGTCTCGACAGCCTTCCCCCTTCTCCTAGCACACTTCATTGGTAGTCCAGATCCCCGATCTACCACACTCCATCTCTCATTGCTCATGCGTTTTGCCCCCTTTTTGGCCCCTTGATCGGTTCGGGGCTGGTATCTTGTTGTTGTGTGACAAAAGGGAGCAGAGGCCTGAGGGACTGGCAGTTCTTGTTGCGAACCGCAGGTCTCTACCACCAAATGGAGGCGGCTGCAGCAGACGAGAGGATCAGGAAGATACTGCAGAAGAGGCCGCAAGCCAGGGGAAAAGCAGACATACAGGAGCTGATCGAAAGGACAGAAGATGTGGGTGCACCCGTCACTGGTGACCCATCGTTCACGATGCACACCACTGTGTGAATCCTCCACTGCCACTGAGTGAATCTTCCGCCCCAGGCCAAGATGTCAGAATCGCCTCTTAAGGGCAGAAATGTGATGCATGGATGGGGCCAGTATGCAGCTGTTGTACCCATGGTTTTCAATGCAATCGGGCCCTTTGGGGCACCAATTGTCGCTGGGCAGATGCCAAATGTGGGCCCGATTCCGTTTTCGTGCTGGCTGTCAACAACCTCATAAACACGTTGAAGGTGCAGGGGCAGTGCTTTGTGACCTGCTTACTGAGCTGGGCTGATATTGCTTAGCTCACAACTGGTGCAGTATGAATCCAGTCATTTGTCGCATCCTTGGCTCAGCAGTGAAAGAATAAACCAAATTTTACCTCTGCAGGTACACCCCTTGGCTTTTGTGATTCCTCACAGCTGTGTTCAAAGCAATGACAGCACAAACAACAGCTGTACACACGACAGCAGAATCAATCAATATGAGTGTGCATGTGGCCCCGCACCTTGCTGGGCCAGGATGTGCCCTGAGAGGAATCTCTTGTGCTTGCCAGCTCGCACGTTGTGCTGCAGGCATCTTTACCCACTTGCAGCAGCAGGCTAGGAGTGACGAATAGCACCAGTAGAAAACAGCCTGTTTGCGATGCCATTTGACACAAATTGATGCCATCGCAGCCGCTGTTATGCCATCGCAATCATTGTGACGGCATCATTTTGTGTCAAAATGGCATCGCAGTTGGCATCGCCAACATGTCGTTTTCTCCCAGTGTAGGCTGGTTAGCTCTTTCTATTGAAGATGCATTCATTTACTGCATGCAATGCAGAGCATTGCACAACACGCAGGGTTTGATTGGATCCCCATGGCTCTTGTCGGCAGGTTCCCTTGTTGTGCCACAGCGGGCCTGCAATGCACACCGACCTCTGCCATGTGCTGAAGGCCAAGGTGCTTCGGGACTCAGAGGCTCTGAAGTTGAGACCGGGCAATGGAGGGGAAGCTTTCTACCTGGTGGGGCCCCTCCTTGATTTGCCACCTCCCAATGTTGCACAGAAATTTTGATCAGCCATCAACTGCAACATGCCCCCGACCGAGGATCCTCAGCAGCACTGGCCTTTCATAGACTGACTAATGTATGTTTATTGATGAAACCTCCCCTTGTTTGCACTGTCAAGGAAAGTCATCATCCAATACATCTGCTGTGGGTGACGCTGGCCATCCTCCCAATGTCTCACAGTGTGTCGCTCGTTGCGGTATGGTGCAGCAGTTTTTTTTCTGCTACATGCATATCCTCTTGCTAATCTATCAAACTCCTCCAATAGCAGCAATATGCCACAGCACCAACAGCGGAGGAACACTGACATTACCAACTCACCTGTTTTGGGCGCTCTCGATTGCCACTTGTGTTTTCCTATGGGCAATCACCACTGCCTGATGTCCTGTGGCAGCGATGCACAACAGCAGCTGATGACATCCATCAGTTTTCACAGGTTGTCTCTGGAAAATTGAGGATGTCATGCCTGGACAGAGGTCCTTTGGAGACTGAATTGGGAGAGCCAAGGAGGGCGAAGGGGAGCTCCAAGAACAAGGTGTCCAGCACTCTCCATGTTGATTTTGGATGACAGACAGCCAGGCAGGCTGCTGTCGTTTGTGTTCAGCTATGTTTGGCACGATTCGTTTGTTGTTTATTGCAAGCTGAATGGCATCGGCCCAGTTCAGGAAATGTGTCTGAGTTGTGGAGCAATTTGGAGGTCTACTTGCGGCACTGACTATCTTGCATTGATACTGCAGACAAGCTGATTGCAGCAAAGACAACCAAATTGGCACAAAATACAGGGCCACCCGATTGTGATGGAGTCTTTTGGGAAAGGATGCAAAAGTACAGACACGAGGCCATGGTGCACACCAAAGTGTGCATTTCTTTCAGGATTGGAGCACGGTGCCAACAGTTGGAAATGTCAGAAGTTCCTCAGCACAAAATGAAAAGGGCCTAAGTGTTGCCTTTTGCGTCTGAGCGCTCTGCTGCATATAATGGGCTCTCTGCCCCCGCCCAAGCCCAAATCCACAGTGGTGCCCTTTCGTTGCCCCTTCCCCTTGACACCATTGGGTTCATGATACGACCCTGTCTCAAATTGGGTCCGGAGACTTATGCAACGCCACCACAGAATGGGAATGGGTCCTGCAAGAGTTCTGGAGTAGGAAGTACAATTGCATAACGTTCTTCTTCACACTGCAAAGAACAGTCCTTAGCACCACTGTTTCAGTGCAACCCTCAAGCAGCTGCCATGCATTCTGGCACCATTGTAAGCTGCCAGGAATCCTTCGCTGTCTGATGATCTGATTTCAAGAACAACACGTGACATGGCAATTGCATCGTGCAGTCACTTTGGATTCAAGATCGCATTCATGCTGTCACTCTTGAGCAAGCCTGACATGCCCATCAGCGCCCAGAATGTTGAGCCAACAATGTCCATTTTGGCCGGCTTTGAAGGAAGGCTTCGAGGGGTGGAGTGACTGAGGCAGAGATTCGGGAGCTATTTGCATCCATTGACATGGATGGCAGTGGTGCAATAGACGTGGAGGAGCTGCACGAGGCGCTGGACATGATGGGGTTGGGGCTGTCCCTGGCACAGGTGCAGGAGCTCATGGACAGCGTCGACGATGATGGTGAGAACAGGCACCCGATCAGTTCCGCGGGCTGTTTGCTGAGAGATCGTGGAGTTGCTCGATAGTGATTCAAATTTTTGCAATTTGCTCAGCTGCTGGATAATACTGGGAAAGCACAAGGGGGCAGGCATAAAATTGGGGGAGCTGGCTGGCACCCTGCTTGCATTCTTGTAGATATCGGGACTGATTGAAAACTGCAGTCTATTCTGTCATGAAAGCCATGTGTTTGTCCTGGTCCCAAACTGTGCAACCTGATTAATAGGCAGAACTCACAGTGCTGGTAAGTCGTGCGGAAACGCCAGATGACATTTGGTCAATGGGCTGGTGTTGTGTGGTGCCGCGTTTTCATCTCCTTGAACAATTCATTGTCACTGCGTTTGGGCATGTGGGAAAACAGCCCACATCCCGGATGAGTAGACAGAGTTATCATTTCCTACATGGAAGTTCATGAATAATGTCATTTCGCCGGCTGGGAATGCAGCACAGGATCTGGCGAGCTGGAATATGAGGAGTTCAAACAGATCATCATGGAGAAGCTCGGGCTTGGAGAAAAGAAGACCTCCACGAGTTGGGAGATGGCCGAGAGTGGGGAGTGGGTCAAGGAGTGCTCGACAGGTGCTTATTTTGGGGAAAAGGCTGTGTTGCATGATGGAGTGTCCATGGTGGCAACGCTGCTGGCATTGGAGGTGTCGACATTGGCGATTCTGGACCGGCCTGACTACCAACATATCAAAGCCCATGGCTTTGACGGTGAACTGAAAAAGAAGGTGAAGTCCCACGCCTCTCACCTGGAGCGTTGACGGCGGATCCAGCGCATTGGAGGCACTGCCAATATCTGCATTTCTGTTAAGCATATTTGCAGCCCATTTGGTATGGCAAGTCTGTTGCCCCCGCAGACACCCAGGTGCAGCATTGCATCCTTCATTGACGAACTGCCATCTGAGCAGGGCCCACTTCTTAGGGTACAGCACTGGATTTGGGTAGGACTCTTGTGTGCCATGTGGACTGCTGTTTGGGTAGGACTCCATTGGCAGAAGTTGCATATCGAGGCCATGTCTTGGAAACGAGTGAGATATATGCACATTCATGTGCAGCACATGCTATGCTTATATCCCTATGTACCCTGTGGTCGTCTGTGTTGTGACAACAATATTGCATGAAGATTCTTGCCACGTCCTGCGTGCATCGAGGATGTGGCTGTGATATGGAACATCAGCACAACGTTCCCTGCACAACTAACCCTTCACATTGACTGGCTAAGGCGGTAGCAACTGACAGGACATCCACTTAGCAGCTGCAGACTGTGGCGATGCCCCTGTGCACTGATTCAGCAAAATTGCGAAAACAGAGTTCCTCAGATGAGCGGTGCTGCATCGCAGGTAGATGTACTTTCCAGCATGGGGATCATTCAGTCAGTGGTAACCAAAACAGATCTCCGCTCGTTCGCCTATGTGGTGAGGCTAGAGAAGAAGTCGCCAAAGTGCAGGTTGTGCGAGGAGGGGAAGGTCGCCACCACGCTCAGCATCATCATTGAAGGCACATGCAAGGTGAGGGTCCCACTGAGGGGATTCAAACTTGGAATCAAAGAGCCTGGGGGATTGCCAGTCTCAACCCTGTCAGGTGTGATGTGTTTGCTGGTGCACCACACACAGACAGGCACGCACGCACGCATGCACCCACCCCACCTTTATGGCAATTATCACAGCAAGTGCTGATGTTGTAATACTATTCTCATGGCATCCCCAAAATGGGGCTGGGCTCTTATGTGGTGTCGATGCCAAATTTCCTATCAGAACAATGCGATGGTGCTCATTGCTTGTGATTGGCATAATGCATCTGGTCCAGCCCTTGGAAAGAAACTCACTGAATACAGAAACAGCACTTCAGTCGCCTGTGTCTCAAACTGTGGGCAGACAGTCACCAGACCCATGACGTCATTCTGCAGTATTATTTGAACACTCAATGAATAATGATCTATCAGAATTTCTGATTGTAACAGATGTGACAGATGTGCAGAAAAGTGCACTCGTGTCGCTGTCACAAGGAAGCAAGCTGTGTCAGCCAGTGCTTATGGCCCGACCCCCTCCAAAACCATTTGCTGATGCTTGAACATTGTCCAGGTTACCAAAAAGATGACACGCCCCATTCCCATGGTCTCAGTGCCTCGCGAGCTTGTGCCAGGAGTCGATCCTTTCTATGGGACAGAAGGCCTGCGGAGCAGGCACCACAGACCTGTGAGATCCAAATCTGCCAGAGTCATGGACGTTGCCGTCCTCGGCAAGGGAGATCTGTGTGGAGAGGTGGGCCACAGTGTGCCTCGATAGATCTTTGAGATACCTGGCACTGTAATGGTTCAGGGCGCCACAGCACAGATCACCACATCTGGCCGCGAGGACTGCATTAACAAACTGAATTAATAGCGAGGGTTGCGGTGTCTATGGAGCCATAGGGCAAAGAGCCTCGACCGCAGACATGTAGCATCGACATTGCACCAAAGTCTGGATGAGTGTGAAAGAATGGTTGCCGAGTAGTGTGACATACAGCAGATGCCAACCTGTTTTGTGCTCTGGCGAATGTTTAATACTTTAGATTATAGCAACAACTGGAAGCGATATGGTGTTGAGAAGTGTTGCCTGGCTTCTCGCTGACGTTGGTTGCGAAAAAACCCTGAATAGAGCTATTCGCCACAGAGCCCCTTGCGGCCCCACGAGGCCTACTTCTTGCAGGGGAGGATTCGTGTTCGCTGCCCGATCTCGCCACCAGAGCACGAGTGCCTGATTGCCGCTTGCCGGCATATCGAAGTCGCCGTATCCTGTGACACTGGACACCAACAGCAACATAGCGCACATGTATCATCGTTTTGCCAAAATGGGAACAGAGTTAAAGCACTGGCAATAGCCCTTGTACACACTTTTACCGAGTGAGTGCTCTACGTGCTTCCCCACAGCGGTTCCAGACTTTTTCAGGGTTCCCCGTTTTCACGGTACATTAGCCTCCCCTGTTTGAGGCAAAAAAGTAGGGCCATGTCCTCTGTTCGCTGCGAGACATGTGCCTTGTCGCTGGGAACAGCTTGAGCACGGGACCTCACCGCACAAATCGCTGCACATTGTTCGGCTCCCCAGTTGCTCAACAAGACTGGCACTTTCGAATTTGAGGAGCAAGAAGCAGCATGCTGTGATAGCACTTTCAGCAAGATGATGCGCCATCTCAGCTCAGTCTCAATGCAGACAGCAGCAGTGTTGCCAGTGCTCTGTTGCACATGTGATTCCAGACTGAGTCCCGCACCACACACAGTGATCGTGATAATGGCGTCGTCAGTGCGCGGTACAGAATACATACAGCCCAATTTTCTCTTTTTCCGTTTCCTTCTTTTACGAAATTGTGCAACAACTTGCTTCATTATTTGAAAGAGAAAGTCGACCTTCCTGTGGCACACAAGGCGATCGGAGGGCAATGTCCGCATCTGCGGTGTCAGGTCCCTGGCTGCTTTTTGTTCCAGAGCATATAACACACCTGCAAGTACGACGTTCCCGGGCTTTCATTGTGGCGCATTGGCTCAACCTGCCCCCCCAAATTCCAGACGTCTGGCAGCAAACGAACAGAAGAGAAGGAACCTCGCAGGTCTTGAAGTAGACACTTCAACGAAGACTTGACTTTGGTGTCTACACAGTCATCCCGGAGATGCGATTCCTCGGCTTGGCAGGCCATCACTAGTAAAAACAGGACAAAATGCACGGTTCTGGAAATCGTGTACCGTGCAACACAATTGAAAATCGTGTAAATATCGTGTTAAATCGAGTATTTGTCGTGTGTTCATAGCACAAAAATGGGACCAAACCGTGCAGTAACGATTGCGCGAGTGTACATGACTTTTACACGTTTCGACACTGTTTTGCGCAATTTTTACACGGCGCGAAAGAGTGTACTTTTGCCGATCTTTACTTGTCCATTGCACCCACGCGACGCACCCCAAGACTGTCATTCGCCACTCGAAGCTTCAGGCCAGCTTCCCGCCTCCCGGCAGGCAGTGCTGACGGACCCCAGCATCCACGCCACCACGACCACCTCCACCACCGAGGTCCTGTTGCTGTCGGTGGACAAGAAGGACCTGAAGAGGTCCATGCACCCAAAGGACATCGAGGGCCTGCGGGACCACGTCGCCGTGAGCGAGACTCGGCGCGAGGGCAGGATGGAGAAGGCCGCGGACACCGTGGAGGCCGCGGCCTGTGGCGGTGCCAGCCCCAAGGCTATCTCCTTGAGGGGCGATTTCGGAGGAAAGGTGCCCGCTGCTGCGTGCACCTCGAATTCGGAAGCGGTGGCTTCTGAAACGCGGCAGGCGCATCTGGCAGGTGCGGCACTCCCCCGGTGCTCAAGTCGCTGAACCCAAGCAGAAGTGCGACACCGTGGTGCAAAGCTGTCTTAAAACTTTAGTAACGGATTTGGGATCGTGCTGCAAGCTGAGTCTAAACCTTTTGGCAGCAGGTTGGCCAATTCGCGCCTTGTCTGTCGACGCCCAGGGCGCGCCGGAATATTGGTGGTCGATCGTTGTGAACAATCGTTGGGAATATAACTGGATGAATGGACGCCGTGCGTTGGCGGTGCGCACTTGTTTGTTCATGACGAGGTCTTGTGTCCGTGCCATTTTGCCGATGCTGTGTTGCGCGTGTCTTCGCGTTAGTCGCGTGTACAGTCACGAGGAGGATTTGCTGCATAATTTCAGAGGCGGGCAGCTAGGAGGCAAGAGCTTATTCGCGATTCAATGGCCACGGCTCAGCCCTTATTGAACGCACGCAGGAGCGTAGTGGGATTGATCGACCCCTTGAACCGACGTGTCATGAAGCGATTCAGAATGATGCAATTCTTTGTCAAACGTGGAAAATCGATGCTGGACGCCACTGGGCGTGTGCTAATTGCCTGGGAGCTCTCCAAGTGCCGTGATAGCAATGCACCTTGAGTCAACAAATGCACTAGTTAGTGCATTTATACTAGAACTACTTATATCGATAAGTGTAAGTCTTGGCAGAAGACGCTTCGTCGCCAACAGGGGTGTTGGCAATGCCATGGATGTATATTGCAATGCTGCAATTGGCCGCTAGGCTACTAGGTCGGCAAGTAAGTGCTTCGTCAACGGAAGCAGTGAAGGACTGTGCGGCCAGTGCTGGGCAGGGAGGCGCGCTTGGACATCTACGCGCCGCTTTCAAAATCAGACCCGCCATGAAAAGACAGTGCTAGACAGTATGCAGATAGATGGCCACGTTTTGCTAATGCGTGCATTTTCATAGCACCTGCCTTTATTGGCGTACGTCGAACAGCGAGATTGGGGCCCAATCATTGGGCCTTTGAATTGATCCGTTTGATTTCGTATTGCTGCCTATCACTGCTCCCATTGTGACCGTGTATGCCGTTTGCCCCATCAGAGAAGATCAGGCTTCCGCCCTTGAGATCGATGGCGAAATTGCACGACGACGGTGGAAAGGAGCTCGATAACCCGTTTGTCCGTGCGCCCTTGTCCGACCGGTGCCACAGAGTCAACAAGGTGGGTGCTCCGCAAGCATATTCATTGGTGAAAAATGGCACCAAGTGCACGGCTACCAGTACTCGCTCTGGCTCAACACGAGCATGGTTTGCGCTCAGCACGCACGATTTCATCCACTTGTCACTGTACAAACTGGGAAGGACATTGCAACGTCCTTCCCAGTTTTTATTTCACCCAATTGGGTGTAATAGTCATTCTGTTGCGGGGTGGGGTCTGCCGGCCTGTTTCACCGCTTCCTTCAATAACGACGAAATGTCCGATGCACTTCGCTTCCGGGTGCGAGGTCATGAAAGTGGTGAAGGCAAATTTTGGCTTTTCAGTTTTCAGGGTTTTAAGTCCCTCGTACCCCTCATGACCTTCAATTCCGAAATAAGGGGTATCGGACAACCTCGTAATGGAAAAGTGTAGCAGGGCATTGCGGCGCTTCGCTGCGTGCATCTTCAGCGCCACTCCCACCACGGAGCAATAGCTCGATTGTTGTGGCCAGCCAGCTTTCGATTGTCAAGGCAACGGAAAGGGCATGCTGCCACTGTCCAAAAGCTTTGCTTTGCATACTTCACTGCACTCACCTTCCCCTGTACATAAGCTTGGGTGATCGAAATAAACTCGAAAATTCGACACTCAAAATATTTCTCCGCGGAGATTGTTATTAACACACTTGATTGACGGACCCCACGGCCATGCAGCCGGTCTGCGACGCGGGCCCCAAGGCCCCCATCTCCGACAGATCGCATCATCGCCCATCCCCCCGCCGCCGCGAGCTGCACCCGTCGCCAGACGCACGCGGCGTCGAGCAACGCCCCCGCCCTTCCGTGCTGTCGAAGCTGATGCCGGACGTGTACGGGGCCCAAGGCAACCGGCAGGCGCCCGGGCAGTCCGCCAAGCGGCAGCGGGCCTCAGGTCTCGAGATGGCCCCGGGCGGCATCAGGTCCTCTGGCCGAGGAGAGTTTCAGAACGTCAGCGACGGCCAGGGCAACTGCGGGACCGATTTTGAACGAGCGGAGTCGTCTCGTTGGGACAGGAAAGGGACTCAGCGCGGGGGCCGGCGTCCCCAGCCGCTCCTTGGATCTCCTCGCAGCGGTGGCGCCCCGCCGGAGCCCGAAGGTGGAATAGAAATCCTGCTCGCGACCAGCATGTGGACCTCAAGCGACCGCGCGCCCGCTTCTGAATCCAGAAAGGGGCCCGTGCCTCCTGGGAGTTTGGTGGCGGTGCAGGCGGAGGTCGGCGCTCAGCTGCTGGCTCCCGCGCCGCCCGCCAAGGCGGGGGGCCAAGGCGTCGGCGGCTGCAGCATGGGTCGGAGGCCGAAGGCTGCAAAGCCGCTGTGCGGGGCGCTGCCGTGCCGAGCGAGCATTCGCGTTCAGATGATGGCGCACCGGAGGAGGGAGGAATCTGACAGGACCAGCAGTTATTGGGACCAAATGCGGGGCCGCAAGGGCGCCAGTAGCGGTCGCCAGAAGTCCCTAAGTCAGGCGAAAGAATCGATTTCGCCGAGGGTTTGCGACCCGGGGAAGCATGGGGAAGACGGTGGTGAACGCTCTGGGCACACGGCGTCAGCATCGATGGTGCCAGCGCGCGCAAGCTCAAGAATTGGAACGCCCAGAGCCCGCTCCGAGCAGATCTCACATGTGGGTATCGCCGTGCACTCTCCCCGCATTTCGTGAGAATGTGCCGTCCTTGGACTCGTTAGCTTGCACGGAAGTCCGAACGAGATGCTTCGTTTTGCAGATCAGATTATTAGATTTCATTGCGGTTGGCAATCTGATGTGTCCACCGTTGCCGACTCGCAAG